TATATTTTTCATCTTAAATTTATATTAGATTATCGATTCTATTTGTAAATTCATCAATGCATTCTTTGAATGAATAAATATCGCTATTCGGCAGTTCTCAATGATTCTCCTGATAATAATTAAACCGTGTATGAGATTAAATATATTGATAATTCTCCGTTTATATGATTTATCATGGCACATACGAATTTCAGCCTATGAGTTGACATTTCATTAACTTCTCTAATTCCCTTATTTTATAACTCGTACGTATCCAGCGACTCGACAAAAGACTCGAAAGCCGAAGACAATTTTCCTTTTCCTTCGCAACGACATATCACGCATATGCGGGCGTATCAAACCTCGCGATAAGGACAAAGAGAGTGAGAGAGAAAAAAGGCAAGAGAAAACCGCAGCGGACTGATGGTTGCATTCAAACGCTCCACTACCGTGTCTAAGGAGGAGCACAAAGGGCGGTGGCGCCAGCGAGGGAAATTGGAAAATGACGAGACGAGAGCGCAATGGGCTTGCATCGGGAAGGAGGAAAGGGTGCATCGGTGAAAGCGCGAGATGTGCAACGGAGGATGAGGAAAATGGTGAACGTACGACGAGAGAGAAGAGAGAACGCGAGCAGTGTGTGTGTATATATATACCATATATATATATACATATATATATCGCGGGTAAGAAGGGTGCGCGCATAAAGGGCCATTAGTTAATTAACTCCTAATTATCTGACGACGGAGAGAAGCGGGTGCATAATCGTCAGCGGCACATTCGCCGCGCGCGAAAAGGCGGAGACAGTGCCGTGAACGCGGATCGCGGAGCCCGGAGAACCGAACAATCGACGCCGCTGCGTTGATTGCATAGGTTCCCGCCAACCTTCGCCGTGGTTTCTCTTACATCCCGTCTCATTTCTTTCTCTCCCTCGTACGAGTAGTCTCCTGCCTTCATCACGATCCTCGCCCACGCTCGTTTCTTTTCAAATCGCCGTCCGCAACCATCGTATCTCCCTTCCCCCAGTGCCTCTTCCCTTCGGGGTACCCCAGATAAACCCCTCGGAGATCTCGCATCACGTTCCCTTCTCCTTTCCGGTCGCGGCAGCGGGGGTTGCGGCGGGTAAACCCCGACCGACTACCTCCTCTCTTCACCCGGGTTCTCTTCCTCTACCTTTTCGTATATCACGAGACCCAGCTATTCTTTTGCAAACCTGTTTCATGCTGCGTCTGTGTTGTTCTTATTAGTACCTGTACGCGCGCGCGCGCATACGATATACCGACCGCGTTTCCTTTGTGTTGTCCTCACGGCTGGACAGTTTATCGTCGTGTTGCACTTTGCCCGATGCAGTTTTCTTGCTCTCATCCTACCATCGTATCTCCTCGCGTCACGATTTTTCCTTCACCCGGTTCTCCTTTTGAATTAGCGTACATTATATGTGTCTCTGCGCCGTACGTAGAATTTTACGTATACGGAAGAAGTTGGATTTGGCAAATGCAGATATATGCAATATGTAATTCAACTGCTAGTAGCGTGAAAGAATTCCGATGGCTCGAATTCGTTTTCAAGCGTTTTACACGGAAAGGGAGTGCCTCTTTTTCTCCAACTCGTCAACTTGCGATATTTTCGTTTCGCATGTTTATTCGCGCCGCGTGAAAAATGCAGTCAATCCGTTAGGATCAACGGACTTGCAAAAATTCTCGCGAGAAGAGCTCAATTAAAAATGCATGTCTGCGAAACTAGCGCGTGGACTCTATTATATATTCCTTGTTTATATCGATGGAAAGAAGCGCATCGAAAATATACATATATGTAAAATTCTTTTCGATTCTTGTTTTAAAGAGATGAACCTTGGACTTTGCAGGTGAATGCGTACAATAACTGTCCATCTGCATTGTTTTGCGGTCGAACACAACTACGATGTCTCAAAGTGCACACTCGGCTAGTAGATAACGTTATCACATGTACAGCGTTTCACAGACTACTAATTACAATAGTACAAGTAACTGTGCAATATTATTGCGGCGCGTTTAAAGGAGGTTTCGAGGTCGTCGTTTCCTTTATTTTCGAAAATCATCGTCGATAACGGTCGTCTGAATCGTAGAAGGGAATTGCATCGACGAAATACTGCGCAGAAGTCATTCGTTACGAAACGGAAACGAAACGTTACGCTGCGAACTCAATCTCATGTAAATCCGCGACGTCTCTCTCGTACAGGTGGCAGCTTCTGTTACAACTGCAGATTAAGTTTGTTTTGTAGAAACTGATTGGATTATTCATTCACACTCTATCTACTTGTAGTAAGCCCGAGTCTTGAATACAGTGGAAAGGCTTGACATAATATTTGCCAAGGTGGATTCCGAGGTCGTTTAATGATATCATTGATGTCGTCACCGCGGGTTTACCATTTCGAGAGTATTTATGTTCGTCTGATATTCAATGCTTTTTTTGTTCGGCTTGAATCTTATGAATTCAAACGCACACACAAAGATAAACAGAGAGACAGATAGAGGCAGATATGAAGTAGGTAGATAGATAGAAAGAGAAAAAGAGAGAACATATTTTATGTATTTATATATTATACATATATTTATATGTGTACTTTATATGTACATATTTTGTACTAATCTTTCTCTCTTTTTCTCTCTAAAAAAGTATATGTTACACAGAATAAGATAGCACATACACACGCATATAAGAGTCAATTTTTTATATTTGATATTACTTTCAGATTATCAAATATTATTCTTATCGCATCTTCCTGGTAGACAATGATAAATGATAGTAATAATAAAAAGATATAGTTATATAATATTAGATAAAAATGCAACCTATTCTCTACGTACTTTTAATTACTTTAAACTTTCCTATCATGCGACGCACACAGCTTACAGTCGTGAATTGTGATTATTATATTACATCTTTATCAATATGAGATATGAGATACATGATAATTTCGTCTCTTCGCTATGCTATCCAAATGACCGATACAATAACTTATTACGTAATCACGCTTGCGAAACGCTCGTAAGAAATATTTTTGCAAATAAAATTAAGCTGCTTTCCATTTTTTCATCCTCCTAATCTTGCAGAGAAACAAGATGTAAAAAATTAGCTCGGTTATATAGTAACACAGTATAAGAATCACTCGAAATCGGATTTGCAGATAAAGGTTTCCTCGATATAATTCCACTAAGCTCAGATTTCGATGCTAACGTATGCACAAAATGATCTTCGTTCACGACAATTGGCACAAAAGCTACCACTCTTTGTAGCATCGAAAAAATGTGGACATTACATCGACGTTTGAAAAATGTCACATAGTAATACAATCATCATCTTACCGAAATACACGGGTTTGTTGCACTTTGGGCAATTCGGCATCTTGTTATGCGTACCGGCTTCTGATCCGACGAGACGTTCGTGCGTACAACTAACGGAAGGATGCTCTCAGTGGCGTGGCCAGACGCGTACTGGCCCTGAGAGAGGCCCCGCAAGGTAACACGACTCTCTCTCCAGTTGATTGAGCGTGTGAACGTGTGTTAAGGCTAACGGCTGCACAAACCGAGAACCCGACCGTGGCCGTGTGTTTTAAGCGGCAGGGCAAATGTTACCTGCGTCGTTATGCAATTCCAATGTGCGAGCAATCTACACGTGCGTGTATATGTATATGCAGGGTGCCTTGGGTACATCACGCGCTTTATGGAATTCTTTAGCAGCTGGTATTAATAAACTGCATCTCGATAGAATCTTTCCGCAGCGTTACTTCCTCTACGTGAAAGTATAACAGAAACTGTACCGTCTCATTTATTGACTTTGCCTCCAGACGTTAACCAATTTTTTTAATCTTGTATCAAATACTATTTTTTATGCTGTTTATATTAGTACTGAGAAATCTAAAATTGCATATAAATAATATAAAAAAAAAACGTAGATATTTGAGAATCGCCAGACAGAATTTAAAAAAGTAAAACTCTTCTCTCGACCGTACTGGCAAATATTATTTATTAAATCACAACGTTTCGACCCTTCTTTGAGTCCTTATCAAGTGATCTAGATATACATAGAAGTATGTTTCGCTTCTTTTTATTATTTTGTAATATTGTTAAGTGAAGTAATTTTTTTTATTGTATTAATCTCTGTACTGTATTTCTTCTCTATGTATATCTAGATCACTTGATAAGGACTCAAAGAAGGATCGAAGCGTTGTGATTTAATAAATAATATTTGTTAGTACGGTCGAGAGAAGAGTTTTACTTTTTTAAATAATATAAGTTTAATTTTGTTCATATATATATTTTTGTTCGTTTACTTATTAAATATTCCACATATAAAGTGCAAATTGTTAAATAATATATATTTTTTATTGCCTTCTTTTCTTCTTTCACTTTTTATTTTGTAGACGGTATTGTGTATATCTCAAAGAATTAAATTACGTTCCAAGATTCTATAAATCTCATTCAATAATTTTCTCTCTCATCAAACGGATTCTTTATTCAATTAAAAAAAAGTGATTGCTCAAGAAATAATATCGAGATATCAATAGCTTTCATATACTGAGGAAGATTGATTCTAACAATAAGTTGATCGAAAAATTAGTAGACAAAAAATGTGGAGAACATTCAGGACACATTTCGTACGTGCATCAGATACTAAACTACTAACGGGCAGGGCTCGAGGTTGGCTTCGTTCGATACGTTCGTTACTTTCTTCGAACGCAAAATAATACCGTTAGCTCTCTATTGCGAACAAATTCGTTATCAAAACCGCGCGACGCCAGACCGATAGTTCACGTAGTATTCAGATCGATAGTTTCGTTATGCGCGAATATAACGGAACAGGAGGTATCGAGAGGTATCGAACGACGGAATGCACTCGCTTCGAAGGCATTTACTCATAAAACTGCAACGCGATACCCACGAAATTAATTAATTATCGGAATTTGGGTCGGGGGAGGAGACACGCGCAGCTACGCCCGCGTAGCCGGAGGGCGATGTGGAAAATTCCTCTGCGAATTTTGGAATTTATTTTAACGAGATTATATACAAATATCCGGGGCCACGCGAATTATTCGTCGCTGTAAAAATTCAACGTTGCAATCTTTATTTCTCGCAAAGCGATGCAATACGGTGCGCGCGTGCTACTGTACTAATAGAATACGCGATCTTTATCCGCCATAATAGCGGCTGTGTAAACGTGGAAAAAAGCATATCTGCGTGTGTGTAATTATATGTCAATTAGATTATTTACGAGCTACGCGGAACTGTATAGGAATATACACGCGATGATTAAAAGAGAATCGCGCCGAAATAAGGAACACGACCACATCCGCTTTGCGTGCCGCATCCGCCTGTGATAGCGATTAGATACCCGCGTTAATTGCGCGCGTCGTGCGCCAGTCGTTCGCGAGCATTAAGGGAATCGCGAGTACGTGATTAATTCCACACCGTCGACACGAAGGGAAAGATGACGACGAAAGAATGCGATCCGGATCACGTCGCCCTCGTCTTGGCGATCGAGGACGGCGCGTTCGACCGGGCGAGTGACATTTTAGCGCGCGACTGTCAAAATAGATATATTCGTCCGGTGGGTGCTCTCCAAGTGACAGCTCTGCAGGTGGCCGCGTGGCAAGGGAGGATAGATCTGTTGGATCGAATCTACGAAATGGGCGCTGATGTAAACGACGCGGATAAAATCGGCAGATGCGCCCTTTATTACGCGGCCCATCGCGGCAGCGTCGACGTGACGGAGTGGCTTCTCCAACGCGGAGGATACGTCGATGCCAAAATCGGGGTCTACTCGTGCACCAAAGACATGCCGTGTACTTCGTTGACAAAGACTTGTTTCGTCGGAAGAAAAGTTCGTATCGCGAGAATATAATTATCAAAATTTTGTTAAGTTCAATTTAGAAAAAAAAATTTATTCTCGCCTTCCCTCCCTTTTAGTTGCCCTTGCCCGTATGCTGGGGAAGGACACCCTTGCACCAGGCGGTGAAGAACAATCACGCCGACGTCGTACGCGTTTTGGTGGAACACGACGCAGACGTGAATATTAAGGACGAGCGCCTCATCACGCCGTTGCTCTTAGCGGGTAGCGCGGTGGATCGCGATGATCTCAAGGAGATGACTAAGTTCGTGGAGATCATCAAGATTCTGGTCGCCGCAAAGGCGTTCGTCAACATTATTCATCCGGACACGGGTATATTATTCGTCAATCGTGTGTTACGCGCTGTGTCATCGTCGCGGTTTTATAACTCACCCGCGTGAATGCATCAGCGCCGAAAAAAAACGACGATATGTCACACACCTGTATACGTCGTATTAGACTTCAGATTATATGCAAATTGCATATTTGTTACTTTTTGCACATTCTACGAGAGCATTGATAATGTGAAAAAATTATAATACCTACGTAACAAATATGCAATTTGCATATAATTCAAACTCTACGCCGCATCTACGTTCGTCTCTATCATTCGATATTTTCCAATCATGCTCAACTCCGCCAGGTACCACGGCGTTGCATCATGCGGCGATGCTGGGCAGCGCGGAAGCGACAGAGATATTATTGTCAAATGGCGCGTGGCCGATGTATAAGTGCAAAAGTTCCGGAAGCACGCCGCTTCATATTGTCGCGAGTACAGGGAGCACTGAGACACTGATGGTCCTACTCGAGGCAATGCTGCCTCATAACATTGACACTCGCGATCAGGTGATTTTCTTGAATACCTCTTCTCGCTCTCCGATGATAAACGAGATTGCATTGAAACTGACACTTGGCTTCTCTTTGCTTAGATCAATCGTACGGCTCTTCACATGGCATCTTACCGGGGTCATCGCGAGTGCGTAAGAGCCTTGATCGAGCACGGAGCTAGCTTATCCGCGACGACGAAGACCGGCATCACCGTCGTTGATGCAATATTCGCTCACATCCCGCGACCATTGGCCTTTATAACGGAAATTCTGGATTCTTGTATACAAACGACTAATAATTCTCCTCTGGAGACATACGACAATGTAAGAATTACTTGAAACTCTTACGCGAATAGTCAGATATTGTCCGTTCTTACACTCTTTGATATACTGCCGTTACTAAGTTCTGATGAATGGGACGTTTATGTTAAAGATCACTGTCGACTTCAGTATATTGGCTCCGAAGCACCAGATGCAAATGGCAGTAGTCACGGCTGTTATAGCCGCAGCTTCGGATATAACGCAACTGGCGATATTACAGCATCCACTTGTGGAGACGTTCCTCAGACTCAAGTGGACGAGATTAAGAATACTCTTTTTCATTCTTACGCTCGTACACTTGTTCTTCGTCATTTCCCTCTCGATCTATGCTGTAATGTTTGTACGGGACGATACTGACCACGCGGTGACTCGAAGAATTCTTGCGATCTGTTCCTGCTTTCTACTATTTCACAATATGATTCAAGTTTTACTAGAGCCTAAGTAAATATGCGTGCAAATAATTAAAATTTGTTAGAGGATCTTAAAATTGATATACCCATCATTTTTCAACAATTAAATAATGCATTTTATTAGAATTGATATAAACGTATTTCGTTTAGTTTATTAATTTATAAATTCATATTTTTATACTCATTGCTTATTCACATAAAATCAGCCTGTATCAAGAATTTTTTAAATTAAAAAAGTTTTAAAAGTTTATTTTTCTGTGACAACTTTAACAAACTACATAATGATAGTAATTAAAATATTTCTTCTAATAATTTTATATTATATTCTATGTGCATATATGTTTATATAGAGGTTTTTAAATTTATTTTATTTTTTCTTTTTATCTTTTTTACTACACGATTTTTACAATTATAATTTTCAGTGTTTATTGGCAATAAATTTCTGTTTGAATTTTTTCCTTGTAAAAAAATTAATTGCTAAAAAATAGTTTGCAAAAATAAAATACTATGTCAATTTTGTTATCGTTTCTCTATGTTTCTGAACGTTGCAATTATATGTTTTTATCTATGTGCAATTATATGTTTTTAAATTTCAGACATTATTTGAGACAACTCGAAACATGGTTATCGTTCATATGCGCTACACTATCGTTGGTGACGTCGATAGCTGGCGAGATCGCAAAGTGCTCGAAGGAAGAAATTGAGTCTCGTCATTGCGCACATTGGATATTGCATTCCATCAGCATCGCAATCTTGCTTAGCTGGATGCAAATGATGCTGTTAATCGGTCGGGTTCCAATGTGGGGATATTACGCGCTCATGTTCTCCACGGTGTTAAAGAACATCCTGAAGGTTAGCCGAAGTAACCAGCGCAATTCTTTTCATTATCCGTGAAATAAAAGCTATGATTTTTAAAGTGGGATTTATTAATCGTGGCACAATATATTGAAAGAATTTTATAAGCTTCTCTGATTAATATTTATCACAATAAAAAAATTAATATGTACCATTGCACAATAAGATATTAAATTTGTTCGATTAATTTTGCTAGGTACATAGTAAAATTTTTATTGTGGTACATATTAATTAGAGAATCTCTTATAAAATTTTTCCAATATCATAGTCCGATGATTACTATGATTTTCAAGATAAATTCTAAGAGAAAATTTTTCCGTGTATCAAAACTTGTTTTGCTTCTAAAGTTATCAGTATGCGCTAGTTATTAGTATGCGCAAGCTTGTTTATAAAAATTAAAATAATATATGTTGTAATATGTAACCGCGTGATTCGTCGAGATCCTTGTGTATAATCGTCGATCTCCGGATTCGATCACTCAGACTGATGACTCGCGCTTCCTATGACGAGCTCTTCAACCATAAGTACGGCTAAAAACAGAGAGGAGACGAATGTGCGGACTCTGAAAGTCGCGGCGCGTCGACGATACGCATCCCATTGAGATTCCCTTGCCGCGTGCATCATCCTCGCGATTATAATGACGTACATCCGGAGCTTTTTACTCCCTTTTAGGTTCTCCTGGCGTTCGGCTACCTGATTGTCGGATTCGCGTTGAGCTTCGCTGTTTTGTTCCACGGGAACGACCAGTTTCGCGATTTCTGGAGGGCTGTCGTGAGGACCGTGGTAATGATGATGGGCGAGTACGAGTACGAAGAGCTGTTCACCACCGGGAACGGCAAGGATACATTCCTACCGGTCACAAGTAGAATCGTATTCTTCGCCTTCACCTTGCTCGCCAGTATCGTCCTGATCAATCTCATGATTGGTTTGGCGGTCAACGACATTCAAGGACTCGAGAAGGAGGTATGAATCAAATTCACGAACTAAAATCTTGTTTTCGCGTTTTTACTTATGAAAAAATTACCTAATTATCGATATGCACTTATACTTAATTGATTAGAATAATCAGAGCATCGGATTTAACGTTGTCGCATCAGGGCCACATACGCCGATTATTGAAACAAGCGGAATTCGTCGCGCATTTGGAGAGGGTGACATCACACAGAATCTTCCGCGGCAATTGGCTACATCCTCGCTTAAGAATGCTTCTACACTCGAGACGCGACATTCCCACAAAAATTACACTCTTCTCGCGTGAAAATTATTTTCATCATGTGAATCATCATCTCATCATGGAGTCGCCTCCTAAGATTCCCGCCGATCTAGTAGAGGCTTTATTTCTGTTAGCCACCAAGACATTTTACAAGAATGACAAGTATGTATTACGCAAATTATGTAAAGTGCATTCGCCTGTGCTTATTGCATCCAAGGTTAAATTAAATCTTGCTAATGCAATGACATGTTATTTTCCAGTTTGACAGGTAAAAATGTAGAGATTGGTGACACGAAGCTGACTTCTATATTATTGAATTTAGAGGAACAAATTCGAGAATTAAAAATACATTGTTATCGTAATTTGACGAATCGAAGATCATCGAAACGACATGGATTCAAAAGAAAGCCTGTACTAAGAAGATTAAATTCTTAATATGCATATGTAGCATATGTGCAAGATTGCTATTATTTTTCAGTGTGCTGAACGTGTATTAATCTGGCAGTAACATTATTACAATCATAAAATTGAGCATGATGGAAGATTTTGCTTTGTGACGGTATAGTATATAATAAGTGCTTTTTTTAAACAATAGAAATATAACAGAACAATATAAATACATATATGTAAATATAATAACGGTAAGTCAGTGATCCACCTTGCCATTTCAGCTGTACAAAGAGACCGCCACATGCGGAAATGCCGCACAGATGTCACCACAAAACTGGTTTCCGTTTCTGCAATCGCAAGCGACCGAATCGCATTTCCACATCAATTATTTTAAAACAAATTTAAATCCGCTCCGGATTTAAGAGACACTAAATTTTTTATTTTCCAACACACATTGTTATAGTTGTGCGCGTAAATGCCTCCGCTTTATTACTCCGCGATACGTTTCGCGGCGCAGCACTAAAGATAAAGAGCGGGAGTAGTTTTCGCTGAAATTAGCGACCATCAAATAAGATTTGCACGTAATGACCGATAAGACTGAATTACGCGATAATTAATGATATTTACGGCAGTACGTAAAACGCAGGCTAGATCATCGTAGAACCTGAAACGCGACGCGTAGTCGTATCTCTGAATATATACGCCGGTATTAAAGATCTCTTTTATTTTACTTTTTCCTCCTTTTTTTTCAACCACGATGTGCATTTAACCAGCGGGTTTTCGTGTGTGCAGATTCGCGTCTCCATATATCCGACTGCTAAATAGTCGCGCGTATAGTCGACGATGCAGCAACAGCCGAGAGAATTGCGCGGCCGAAAAATATTGCGGAGCATAAATTATAAGCCGGATAAGTTTATTTGCGAAATGCAGTATACCCTCTTTTTCCAACATATCGTATCGCGGCAGCAAACCCCACGTACAATTTCGCTGCCTTATTCATTTCTGGAATTTTCCTTTGTAATTTTTTATGGCGCGTTGTGACAATTTTATACAATTCCCGCGTCGATGATAGGAAAAAGAAAATCTATTTATCTAAAGGAAGAAACTTATTTTCATCTATAATTATATAATATATATATATAAATTTGTATATAATTTAAATAAAAATATCTAAACATAAATATATTTATATATTATAAAGAAAGGCTGCATAAACAAGCGCCTCACTCCAAAATATTACGTATTATAAATTTATACACTGAAAAAAAAATTGTTAATTAATGTGACTAAACCTTTCAACTAAATATTATTTTGTTAATTGAATATATAAAAATATTTAATTTAAATGTAACATATTAAGTCTAACAAAACGTATATTTGACTTAAATGCTAATATATATTTAGTTAACAAAATAGTAATTTAGTTGAAAGGTTTAGTCAAGTTGACAAATTTTTTCAGTGTAGGTACCTATATTATGAAATCAAAATTAAAATCAAAATTAAAAAGAAATTGGCATATAATCAGTTCCATTTCGAGTAAATTTTTCGCTAAATAAATTGGAGGATTATGAATAAGAATATTTTAAAAAATAATCGCATAATGTTGTATACATGATAGATTTTCTTCATTCGTAAAGTTTGCGCGGTAGATTAATTAAAAATTTATTAAATATAAAAAAATTGCGAACACATAGACATACATACATATACGCACAGTGATGCGGCTGAAATTTAGTTTGGACAGCGGTTTAAAAGGGAACAACGGTAGAGCAAAAAGCGGGAGTCGAAAAACTCGCTGTGGAAGCGAGTGTGCAGGCGACTCTCATGCACCGATGCGAATTTAGATGCTTTCATGATTTATTAAATTCGCCTACGTCGCGGTACTGTATATATACATCACGTTTCAACGGCGCGATTTTGGACCGTCGTCATAATTTTCGCGGAACGCGGCGCGCTGTTTTCTCGATTTTGCACCGTCAGAGAAAACACGGCTATCCCAGATTTTCTCTCTCTCTCTCTCGATTCGTACATAATTTTCGCGTATTCGAAACGCCGGCTCTTCGCGAATTACGAAATAAAAGTACACGCGGAAATGTATACGCGTATGATACAATATTCTTTTCCTTCCCCCTTTATCGCGAATGGAAACGGAAGAGAATATGATTCGATAAAAATCACGCTACGTGTGAAAAGAGATCCCATAATATTTTCGGAAATATTATATACGCACGCATATTTTCTTTCGAAGAAATCTACACAATATATTATTCTGAATTTTTTCCAACAAAAGTGAGGAGCGAAATTTAGTTTCGCTACTGTTTAAGACAATAAGAAATCACGTGTATTACGGATTTGTTCGGTAGGGCTAATTATCCCCTCGAGAATATATTAATTAAACGCTGAAATTGGTTGGTACAACGGGCGGTAGCGGACACATAAATTATCATAAATTACCGCGTTCTTCCGCCGCTATGAAGAAATCACATGTGCACCTGCTCTAATGGCCTTCGCACACAGTGTTCGCCCATAGAAGCACGTCTCGCGCAAATGCTCGCGCCCAAGAATAAATTCATCACGAACTCGTCGTTTCGCGCGCAACAAATATACAAAAATACATGTACATAGATTATACGTACATGCTAATTTTTCATTTAAGACGTAAGCTTCGATTCGTCGCAGCGAGAAGATAGTCGCTGCACCATTCGAGAATAAATAAACAAAAGAAGGGATCTTTTTTTAACTTTTTGCCTGAAACGCGGGATAAATTGATCAAGAGATAGATGCACTTGCCGACTTGGTGACTTCGGGATCATCCGGGAATGGGGGAAAACGTCCCTCTCATCAACGGCGATAATAATAACAACACGACGACGACAATAATAACAACGCGACACACACAAGTCACACAAGGCTCGCGCAGCGGCGTCGGAGAGTGAAGTCGGCGCCGAGTGGCGTTCGGGCGAGATCGCGCTCCCTCGGCCGGACTCGGCTCGCCGCCTTGCCTGCCATGACTGGCCAAGCGCGGCGTCGCGGGGGAGCGAGATGGCGCGTCGGTGAGGGAAACCGCGGCGGTGAATCCGGCGTCGTGATTGGTCGCCGCGTGGGAGAGCCGCCCGTTCGAGCTCACCGTCGCCGGCAGTCGGCACCGAGTATTCAAGTCGAGCGCGTCGAGGCGATTCGAAGTCGCGGTGAGAGAGAATTATACACACGTATTATACCTATATACGAGACACATATATACGTACGGGGGAAACAGCACGCAATCTCGCGAACGTCGCTCGTTAACACGGTGTATCGCGGGCACGATGGCCGCCCGGCGCGTGTACCGTTCGCAACAAAAACAACAACAACAGTGCCGTACATCCTGTCATCGTCGCCGTAATCATTGTCGTCGTAGCGTTGCGCTCGCGGAGTCGCAGCCTCGCGCGCTCGCAGAAACGTCGCGGCCGCCGTATCTGGCGTGCGGATACGCTGGAACGCGCGGATCTTCGTCGCGGTGCGCGTCGCATTGAAGTTGCAGAGAGTCTCCCCGTACGTTTTCCGCGGCTAACGTCACCGCGGAGAGAGAGCAATCCGAAAGCGAGGAGCGAAAAGGACAGTGCGCGCCTCGCTCCGCTGTAAACTCGGCATAAATACGGTCTGCCTTTTATATATATATATATATATATATATATATATATATATATACTATCTACCTCTGTGTGTGCGCCTCTTTTTCTTACACATATACACGGGATCTCCATCTTTCTCTTTTCTCGTCCTACGCTCCTTCTCGCGCGAGGAACTACATTGCGGCAATCTTCCCACGCACATCTCCGTCTCTATTTATCTCTCTCTCTCTTTCTCTCTCTTTCTCCGGCTACGACGACCGGAAATTAAACTCGCGCGAAAAGCGCGAACCGCGCGCGTCTTCCGTCGCTCGAGTCATCGCGCGGAGTGCGTTTATTTTTCTCTCCTGCGTAGAAAAGTGCTGCGGCCTAACCTCGTCGACAGTGAACGGAATTTTCTGTGCACGCGGTGTGAAGTTGGCTCGGGTCGCGCGCAGCGAGACACGAATCGAATCGAATCGAACACGGTAATAAAGTAGTGAACACGGAGTGTTGAAGTACAGTGCGAGAATCAGTTGTGCGCGTTTTCGCAAAGTTCCGAACGAAAGAGAAGACAGGGTGCAACGAGAGAGATCGGGTATCTTTCTTCGTTGGAACGCCGCCGAAAATCGGAAACGTGAGACACCACGCCTCTCTCTCTCTCCTCTTTTCTCGCCGCCGCCGACCGAAGTCGATAAGGAGCTACTACGAGTGAACAAGAAAGACGGTGGCCGTTGCTCGCGTGCCCACAATAATGCCGCACGTGAGCAGCAGCGGCGACGGCGGCGACGAGCTCGCCACCGAGGACGAGATCAAGCTCTACAAGCATGAGGGCGAGGAGGACAAGACGTCCTCGGAGAATCTCACCGAGGACAAGAGCGACCTCATCGACCTCACCGAATCCGAGGTACCTACCTTTCTTCTCTTCTTTCTTTATCGTGCATTTGCTTTTTCTTCTCTCTCTCTATTGTCTCCTTCGTTCTCTTGAATACACACATCCTCCTTTGTATATATATATATATATATATATGTATACTCTCTTTCAAATGCGTCGTGTATGTATATAACCTTCGAGTATTAAGTGCGGGCGTCTCGTGTGTTGCAGGAAAAAGTTGCGCTCGCCGGTGGAAGCTACGCGACGACGGGAAAAGCGTCGACGAGATCCGACCTCAGCCCCGTCTTTGGTGAGTCCACTTGAAATGTCATCAAACTGAGCTTGCATTTTTCTCGCAGTTATCTCTGTTTCTCGTCTATCGCTGTCTCGCCATGTATTTGTGCACACAGCTGCTCGACGCTTGGAAAGAAAATACCCTCGAGATGAATCACTCGAATCTCCGAGAATCCAGCTTCTCTCGATATCTCGGCGACGACACGGGGAAACCGTATCGACGCAAAATTTCGTCGCGTGAGTTTAATTATTCGTTAGCCTCCCCCGTAATCCAAGCGAGAGAGTCAACGGGATCGATACGCGATTCCGAGAGTCGTGGTAAACAGCTGGCTAAAGGCCCGTTTAAAAGTAATGCTCGTATGTAGTTAGGAAACGATTAATTGGACAAAGGACATCGGCGCGAGAAGCTTCTCCCCTAAAATCCAGCTTGTCCATCTACTTCCGTCTACGAATATCGACGCGTTCGCTAAGCAGGTCGCATATCGCGGTTCATAAATAATGCAAGGTACGCTGGAAGTTGAAAACAATACCGTCTAACTAGGCTAGACGACGCGAGAAAATATCATAGTTGAAATCGATCGATCTCTCGCCCGGAGAACGATACGGGGAAATTAAATAATAAAACTTTCAGCGGCGTCGTTTCTCAATGGTATCTCCGCACCTACCTAGGTAAATCTGTCTCTTTCTCTCTCTCTCTCTCTCGCTCGCACGCGCTTAGATTAACGTCATTCGAAATCGATCGCGGGCACGATAAGTGCTCTGTAGCCGCTTTCACGGTCCGATGATAATCGCGTCTGTGTGCGTCGGCCGGAGAAAATGTGTGACTCCGATTTCCCGGCGCTCCTATTAATTTCCTCACCATTACGCCGCATTACGTTGCACGTCGTTCGAAAGCTTCTTCTACGTCGTCGTCGTCGTCGTCATCGTCATCGACGGCCTTATTGCCCACATTCTACCGCCGTGATAATCGCGAGCCATTCGCCCGAGGCAATGACGACAATGACACTTGACAATTCTACGCGATCGCGAGAGGAGAGACATAGAGAGGCTGCTATTGACACGTTTTGATAGCGGCTACTTCGTAAGTCGTTCTCTTCTTCCTTCCTTCGCTAGGAACTGTATTCTACATGTCATGTCATTTTTTATTTTTATTTCATTTTTTTACGATATTTTTTGAATATACGATATTTTTATATCGTTTCTGAATATGCACTATTTATATCGCTCGTGTTCTTGGCGTATATTAGCGCGTGAAAAAGCTGCGGTCTAAGCGGAAATTTACTTGCGATATTTCGTGAAATATATAACGGAGATAAAATGTTCAGCTTCTATTGCCTGTTTTGGAAGCGATATGAACGAGGCGCTCGGCGAGATGCGATAACATCGCCGGAGCGTTTCGCAGAAAAACCGGACTAGCCTAAAGAACGCATACGTGTCTCCGCGCTTTTTCCCTGGAAAATAAAATATCATCCTCTCTTTAAAAACTCGACTTTCTCTTTCTCTTCTCTCGATCTTCTTTACGGATTTTTCAAATTTATCGTGCGAATTTTTTCCCTCGGAAAAATATAAGTTCTGTTAATTTTATCATACAAATCAATGAAGTCGGACACCTGTTATAATATATTCAAAACTCGAAACAAAAATTTGTCAAATTTTTATTCAGTTCGTGGGTGTTCGTTTCGTTATATAGGTATTTACCTGGAGATATTGTTGCGCCCAAAAGGTTTTTCACTCTTTCTTATATGTTTATTCATTTTTCACCTGAACCTTAACACACAAAAATGTCGAACGTCTTTTTGTCTCTTAAAAGGTTGAAATGTTTTTGTTCATATCGAACGAGATTTACGATGACAGATTCGTTCCGGGTAGATCGTTTCTCGACGTGTCAGTAACGTATATACAATGAGATGCGTGCCTGAAGACGTTCCCGTTGGTCGGCTCTTCCTCTACCTCGCCAGACTTTGTCACTGACAAATCGATGTCGCGCTACCGCGCACGCTGTCACGTTGTTGCCAAAACATTTTAATGAGTTAACGTGGAGCCGCACGTCTCCCGGCACGTTGTCTCTCTTGTTTGAGATGTTGCAGGCGCGATTACGGCACGTGCGTGTGCGCGCGTGTATGTATATCGTTATCGAATATGCCTTCCCTTCTCTCTTTCCCTCCAAAAACCTTCCGACTCTTAAAAATATCTCCGGACACGTCTTCATGGCTTACGCAATCGAACGAAACATAGTTTCTTAATAATTATAATCGCGATCTAGGGCGATCGATATTTCAATTTCGCCGTCTGTTTTATATCCTACATTTTACAAAAGATTGTAATAAACGGTAATCTCGCGCGATCACTTATCTTATAGATTATTAAACGGCTATAGTTTCCATTGATCCGATTCTATTCCATCATCCGTGAATCACTTTCGCCTTTATGTATCGATATACGCGCGCGAGTGGATGGGATGGGAGAAGAGGAATCGTTGCACTCTTCGTCAGAAAACGTGCAAAACGTTACGTCGGGATCCGTTGTAATCGCTTAAGTGGTTAATTATGGCTCTTCGAGGAAGGCCGAGCGTACGCGCGCGCCAGGCTGAAGCCTGAATTAATCTTGGCATCGGTTGACTTCACTAGAGCCGCTTCTCGTGTTTCTTTTTTTTCTTCTCTTTTTTTTCGTCGCTTGTACACATGAAAACTAGTTATTCAGATATATGCCGAGAGTAAGAGAAACCGAGAAAGAGAGATTGCGTGTAACACGTCACATTCTGACGTCATTTTTCGCCAAACGCGTTGACGTACAATAACGTGTAATATCAATACTTCGCGTATCGGAAATGTCTCTTGTTTTCCCTGCTAAACGGTAGTATAGTTTATGCGTTTATCATTATAAAAGTGCATCGTAAAAATAAAAAAAAATAAAATACGGCAACACTCGCGTAAATAAAGAGATCCCCATTTTTATATCGAAATTCTTGTTGCGTATATACGACGCGGTATATTTTTTGTGATAATCCGATGGCATTGCCTGCGTCGGTTTTCCCAGGGACGATATTAACATAATATCGCAAAACGCAATACCCCCGGCATATTCCTTTCCACATCGCTACCCTCTCTTTACATGCTACCACTCATTTTCAATAACGTCGTGCACTTCGTTAGTATTTATATCGGCTTATTACGCTTCCGTATATGCGACATGTTCTCTCGTTACATTTCCTTGTGGAAATGTTGTTGCCTGGGTAAAACCAAAGAGAGATCTGCCAGACTTGGCGATGCGTACGGTTAATTATCGCAAGCGCTTGTCGCTCGGAGCACAAGGTAATTACCGGGATTTCGCCATCCAGGTACAACAAAGTGTCGCGCGCGAGCGAAAAGTCGTCTTACGCGACTGTCAAATCGGGAAATGAAAGTCAGCCGAGCACGAGATGTGTTCGGGATAGAATCTCGTGTAATGCCAAGTTATATAGCTGTGATCGAATGACTAGCCGCCGGTGCTTTTGCTGCAAGCTCTCTCTCTCTCTCGAATCATAAACGTTGCAACGTATATTTGAATGTATACGACGGGTTAGTTCGAGCTCTCGTAGGACGATCGCGGAATGTCCTGTGCGCCAACTTTCTTTTACTTTTCGCGTTTGTACAAAGTTGAAGCGCGCCCCGATATCGCAAAAGTGTTTTACCGGAAGCTACATTTTTTTTAGTTGTACATTTTTTCGTCAAAGTTATTTTGATACGATAGTTTTGGATTTTACAAAGTATTTACGGAGAGAAAAGGTATTAAAATTGACATTTGTGTTTCTAAACTTTAGTTTTTAGCTGAAAGTTAAAACAAAGATTTAGATTGCATTTATATATCAGAGATTATATTTTGTAAAATCCGAAACTCGTATATTAAAATAAATTACTCGCCATCAGATTGTCTTGTAATTTTGATTGATAATAATATTGTTTTAAATTTTTGAAATAATGACAAATGGCCATTTTCGCAAGCAAACGAAAATTAAAGTCTAAAAAATTGGTCCACAAAACTGATACATCTATTAAAAATTAAAATACAGAACATAGTTAAAAACTTGTAGACTTGTAGAATAAAGTGTGATAACAGAAAAAATACGCCGTTATTTACCATAGATTACGTAATTCGAATTAAATTATGTAAAAAATTATTTATCTCTTTCGACAAATTAATATTAAGTTTTGAGTATAATCAAACTTGGATATCGCAATGAAAATATGATATAAATTCAATATTATACATGCATACTTCTCGAATGCGTCAAGAATGTGTTATCTACTTATACATATTCGCATGCAATTTCTTCCGGCGATACAAATATAGATGAATACTTGCGAAAGTGCGCCTTTCGATATACGAAGTGAATTTTCTCTTAGAATTTATCCTGAAAATCATGGTACTCGTGGGACAATATGGTACTGGAAGAATTTTATAAGAGTTTCTCTGTGATTAATATTTACCATAATAAAAAATATTATATGTATATGGTAAAATTAATCGAACGTATTTTATATCTTATTACGGTAGTTATTATATATTCTATTGTAGTAAAAATATTAATCAGAACTCTTATAAAATTCTTTCAATATCATGTGTCATGATTAGCAGGATTTTCACGATAAATTCGAAGAGAAAATTCTCTCTATTCATAATTTGTCGCTGCTCGGTCCCGCGCGTCCAGACTGCATCGCGGCGCCCTTCAAAGATCGCGAGACAAATAAAGTTAGAGATAGATAAATGGGTAAAAAATGAGAGACAGTAGTAAAAATTGGGAGAGGCGCAGAAACGATGTGTCTCGTTGTGCGAAGTAATTGACGAGTTCGCGTGTAGGCGGTCGGGCGCCTAGATCGCCTCGAGCGCACCATAGGCTTATCCTTAGAGACGAAAAACGAAACGAAACGAGCAGCCCTGACGGGCTTTGCCCGAGACCAAGAGAGAAGGAGAGGCCTTCTTCTCTCCAAGCGAAGGAGAGGCGTAGAAACGAGGCGAGAGAAAACGAGACGATGCGAGAGAGAGAGAGAGAG